ATGACTTATATAGCAAGCATAACCTTACAACATATAATATGTAAAATAAAGCATTAAAATTCTACGTCGAAATAATTCGAAATGCTTATATGCACATGTAGGAAGCATAGTGAATTCAAGGACTTTTATGCCTCGTATCATAACATATACGTGGACTCCCACATAACATTTTATCATGATATATATATACACTCACACATCACATGTCATAATATATACGTGCACTCACATACCACATGTCAAAGAAAGCATGTGTACTCTTACATTGCATGTCATTATATATATATGCATATAATATATTTTCATCACAAATCATATATTTTTATGTTTACAAAATATATAAATTCACATTTAGCTTATGCCTAGCTTATATGATAATTGTATCATTCAAAACATTTTTTTTCAAAATATATTATGAATACAATAATTTATACGACCATTATTTTGCAGTGAATTAAACTTATATTTATCTGATTGAACTAAAAAATGAAGATGCCAATGAAAGACCACATTCTAAACTTATAAACCTTATATCTTAGTGCATATAGGTGGTATTCACTCATTTCTATATCTTACACAACTCTAAGAGAAGTTTTTAGAACATGTTAATAGGACATAGCCTAATCATATCCTTTAAGGGGGTCAATTTAGCTCGAATAAAACTCTTTTGAAAATAGGAGATTCCAAGTATCTCATATTAGGACAATTACAACTCTATGCACCGATCTCTAATTAAGGTCATACCAGAGACCTTAGAACTATAAGAGAATTATACAAAACACATCCAAAAATCAATATTAATTTGAAAACTAGGTTACTTAAAAGCAGCTGAAAAGATTAGCCTATAATTTGTAAACTAAAACCCCAAGAACAGTAAGTGAAGAATTGAGTTTTTCTTATCTCAATCTTCCTCAGAGTTGGGGTTTTCTAGTCTCCATGAGAAAAGTTAAGAAAATGACTAAAGAATGAGAAAAATGATTGTGGGATATCATATTAGTAAAATGGATGAGGCCAAAATAAGGTAGAGATGTTTAAGAGGTTACCTCGAGGTCTAGGATTCAATCTCATAATGCCTCATTTAAAGTTTTTCTTTTCTTTTCCTTTTTTACTAATACAATTCTAATGTTGCAACAACTTTAATTTAGTTTAATTTGGTTTGACAAAGATGATATTTTTTGTCGAAGCTCATTTTTCAATCTCACTTATGTATCTCAACATTTAATATAACATTCGTTTTTTATTTGTATTTCTATTTAATTTTTCATTACTCTATCCATGCCTAAGTAGCTTATGATCCTCAACATACATAATGTTTAAAACTCAAACTTCCTTCCGTTAATCATGGTCAAACTTATCCAAGCCTTAAGATTCAAGTCGATTAAAATTCAACTGTCACTTCTAATCACTATACGCATATTTATCACCAGAACTTAACCTCATATTCAGGTCCGTTGGTATGCTTTTGCTTGTTACGTTATGTTTAACGTAAACAACGATGCTTATGCATGCTTAGCTAACATTTTGTAGAACACTGAGAATGATATTTTTAGAAGGCATATACTTCAATCTTAAAAGCTAAAAACATGAGCATATCATTTATCATAATTATGAATCATAGACATCATAAATCATATCACTAAGTGAGAGTAACATATACATATTATATGTGTTTCTATTGACATGCTAGTTATAGTTTAAAGTGTGTGAAACTCGGGCACTATATAAATTGTTCAATTTCATGAATGTATTTGAAATATTCTCTTTTTGTATATGATGAGTCTTTTCTCCTGTAAGCGTGGCATTGTCTTGTTTTTCTTGACATTTATAAGATTTGAGGATTCAATCTCCTTACAAAACCTTGGTCTTTCAGATGCTTGCTTAGCCACGTTAGCCTCAGAAGGTTAGAAGATATTTCTGTCATTGGTATTGGGAAATATGCAATAAATTTCAGATTAGCATTACTCTCCATTGCCTACATATCTTAATGATAAGATGCATAGAATCCAATGTTCTATGTGGTAAGCTGTTTGAAAATCTTAATTTTTTAACTTTGTTTTATATGGTTGAAAGAAGGGATTCCTGGTGGTTTTACTTTTGAATATAGTGTTATATGTAACTTCAGTTTTTTTCTCCATGCACTTCACTATAAGAAGCTACATCTGCATTCGATTTTAACAGGTGATGGTTGTCTTTCTATCACTGAAAATTTTTCAGGAGGAACAATGAGGTTAAGTTGAAAACAATTTTTAAGTTATCAAGTTATTTATCTATTTTTGTTTTTGATTTGGTTCTTCTCCTTGACTGTTGATGATTTGGTGCAGTTCTTATGATGGAATAATGTCTGGAAAGGTAATTGCAGCTGGATTTCAAGAACCTGATTTAAATGCTTCAGGTACCAGATTAAAATTTTCTTTCCCAATTATTATTTAATTGTTTTAAATAATAGCATCAAATGAAAAAAGTAGCATCAGAAGTTTTGTATTTGCTTTATATTAGCTCTTCATTTATACTTCCATTATTACTCTTATCCTATGCTTTGCTATTTTAACAGATGCATTCAGTGATGAATCTTCAGTAGCTAGAAATGCTGGCAAAAAGGTAACGAAGGATGACTATGATGGCCTTCCTGCCTTTATGAAAAGTCTGGTATCATGGGAGGTACGGGTTCTATTTTGCATCTGCAATGAGATCATGGAAATTTCTTACTAATGGATAAACCTTTCCTGAAATAATCAGAAACAATTGTTATAAACTGTGGTAGTTACTGCATTTGACGCACTTTTTTGACACTCCGGCAACAAAACAAGGTTTTACATAATTAATAACTGCAATGACTGTTGGTTTTGGGGTCGAAGGTTATTGAGAGAGAGATGACGTTCCAAGAAGGAAGGGGAGGGAAAACTAGGGCTTGAATTGTTTCCTTTTTGAGATTCTTGTTTTCTCTTATTGTTTGGTTGGAAATGATGCTATCTCAGAAAATGAAACTAGTGTGTAATGAATAAGAACATTAAGTGAAACTATCTTCTTCAGTGGGACTAACAGTATTGGGCAAGCCTGCTCAAAACCTCCACTTTAATATTGGAAATCTTTCTCTACATTCAGTATCCTCACCATGGATACAAAATAGACTTTTTATGATGAGCCAAGTTTTTACCATCTTTTCAGTGCAAAACAGATGGGTAGTAATGGAACTGTAATTTTAATTTTTTGCAATATGCATGTCCAATTTATTTCATCCAATTCTGCAGTATGAGGTTGAAGACAAATCCTATTTTCTCTTGCCATTGTCAATTTGTAGGAGTTACAGGAAGCTATTGTCAAGATAAACTCTTTCCTCTCCGGAAAGGACAGGAAGAAGCAAAGTGATGCATTCAACCAAGACGATCTAGAAATAATGGGGCTTGGTAGGTATCAAGGTTTTGTTCTTCTGTTCCTCGTTTCTCTGTTTTCCCATCTCTTAAATCGTTTCTAGTCATTTTTTTATTTTTCTTATTTCTCGGGAGTCAATGAGTCACAACAAGAGAAGTTAGAAGTTTTGTGGTGGTAAAACTAAATCTTGAGGGGGGGGCGGAATGTATTTGATTTCTGGTAGTTGCCTTTCAGTTTGCCTTTTTTCTTTTTCTTTTTCTTTTTTCTTTTAATCAAACTCATCGAATGAGATATTGTTCCTTTAGGCCAAACTCTTCATCCAAAGGAAATTGGGGGTGGTGTTGGTCTGAACTGATGACTTGGTTGTGGTGCAGGGCGGAAAGGACGATCATACTTGTTGCTACTCCTTAGGATGAATCAGCTAGCTGCGGAGACAAATGAGGGATCCATATATTATAGAGTGCCTGCTGGCTGCTGCTAGTAGGTTCGTTATACATGTTAATGTCGACGAGGGACAAAATTTGTCGAAGCATTACTTCCGCTGTTTGCTGAAGTTTTCGCTTGCAGTGGATTACGTCTTGCTCTTCGTTTGGGTTCCACGTGAGCTGTGGACAATTACTTCAGGGCTGCTGAACTAAGATACATGATTTGGTCTCATTGGGGAACGAGAAGGGCGGCCCGGCCCAGCCCTCTATGCTGTTCGCCCGGATCATCGGTCTGCAGGCTTGCGATCAACGTGACGAGTAGCGCTGTACCCCTGCCTCCACTATCCTGTTTTTTTTTTTTTGCTGGATTCAGGTATGTTTCGACGATGACGGTTAATTACAAAAATATTCCATTCCATGTAGTTAGTTATTTTGATTCTTATATTTTTAAAAATTATATTGATATCTTTATAGTTGTAAAAGTAAGATTTTTAGATTCATTTATTTTAATGATATCGATTTTATTTATAAAAATATAAAAATAATTTTAATATTTTAGTTGATGATGATTGATAATGTTGATGATGACATTGTGACAATGATGTAGTTGTCAAGTGATTGTTTTGCATTTACATCGGCTTACTCTTTTATCACTTAACTAATGTGTTGGTGCAGATATAATATAATCTTCATCTCTTGTTATTATTTTTTCTTACCTACAATAGTCATTTACATTCCTCAATGATACCATCATCCATCATCTACTATTGTTAATTAAAATATTAAAATTATTATTATTTTTACTTTTATATTTCTATTAATAAAATTGATAACGTTAGAATAAATAAATATAAATATTTTATTTTCGTAATTATAAAAATATCAATTTAACTTTTAAAAATGTAATGATCAAAATACTAAGGATAATTAACTTGAAAAGCTTATATGTATGTATGTATATATATATATCAATCGGTCACGAACAATAGGCTCAGCATACGTAGACAATAAAGGTGGCAGTACATACACAGAAGCAACTTTGGGGTCGAGCCTCAAGGAAGCAAGCACAAGGCAATGTGTAACCCAATAGAACATACATGAAGAGGAGTCTCCAGCACAAGTCAATTCTTTTACAGGGTCTTGGTAGAGAGTGAGTCATTGAGGAAACCCAGGGTACACCAAATAATCCCATTTTACAACCCCACATTCTTTCAAAGACCAAGATGATGAATAAGAAAACTATGGAAATATAACAAGGATGGGGACGAAGACCCCCAAGGGAAGTCAAAGACACCAGCTATACCCTATATGTGCCTCCCCCTCCGATCCAAAATCTTTATGTACTAAAATTACACTGGATCCAAGGGCAGGAAACCCTAACTGACATGGGCTTGACCAGAAAAAAGAAAAAGAAAAAAAGCCACAAGGAAAATTTTATAACGAGGCCGAGACGTTAAAAAGAACTCATGATCAAGCATTCTCCCGAGTCCTCCCCAGCTAACACTTGACACACATTACACCACAACAAATTTTGGTGGCGAATCCCCCAAAAGTCCCCACCTCACTAATGCTGCAATCTTATTGTTCAAAATTCTACACTTTGGTTCTCTCCTATCCATGTGGACCTGAGGTGACAGCATTGGATGATGCCATGGGAGGAGATCCGGCCACTTTTCAATTGTAGATTTTCACGGGCTTCTCAAACGTGTGACGGTTCTGCAGGAAACAAACAACTGTGTTTAAAACAAATGACCATGCGGAGGCAGGTATAATTTGCCACAATGTGTTGGAACATCTACAAGTGGCTGAAGGGATTGATTGATGGCAAGACACTATCCTCCAAGTCGAATAGCTGGAGCCACCCACAATCCCAACAGGTCCTGCAGACTAATAGCCATTTTACCTGATTAGCAGTGTAAGCCCTTTTTGGAGCAGTGTCAGAGTGCTCTAACCCAAGGTACTGCTCCCAGGCTCCATAAATATCTCTTCTCTGCAACAAATGAATCAAGTCAGAGAAAGTGACGCTGGAAAGTTGGAAAAGAAAAAGAAAAGAGGCACCTAAATAAACCCACCTGAAATCTGTTAGATACTATATCTGAATCCTGGAGGTATTCAGGGCGTCCAAGTGATATGAAAGCAAGTTTCCACTGATTGAACAGAAGCAATTGTATCAGATTTCATGATAAATTGGTGGCAAAATGCAAATGAGCAAATTATGCAAGCAATCATTGCAAACGAAGTAATTTTGGAGGGTCTATCTCTCAGTATTATCATACTGCTGTATGGCACATATTCATCATCTGGAGTGTTCCAAGATTTTACTTGTTCTGTTTTTTCTTGAACAAACTGAACTACAATCACTCAAATTTCTTTTTTGGGATCTACACTATGATTCAGAAGACAGTTGATCATGGATGGCATTTTACTTCAACGTTGTCATCTCACGAGGGACAGGTTTTCAAAGCTCAGAATATTAACAATCATGTAGCAAATGATGCCACAACAATTTGATTAGTCTGACAAAAGCTCAGCAAATGACTTATCCCTAATATGATACCACAACAATTTGAATAATCTGATGCCAAAACAATTTGGACTCCCATTGTGGCGAAGAACTGGATATCAACAGTGTTCCATCTTCACCGAACGCGCATATACAGCAAGCATTGTGACAATATATTTTCTAGAAGATTGCAAGAATACATACTACACAGTTCAGAATGAGGCCAATTCATTGATAATAGTTAATACTCCTTAACAAAGATAAAAGATGGTAATAGAGTAAAAACAGATATACAATGTTGAGCTTATTTCATGAAACAGGAAATGGAAGTGGCAGAATACAGACAGAGACAAGATATGATATGAATGAGCACGTGATCAAAATAGAGGAAGAAATACCTTTGAGAATTCCTCATCTGGAACTTGCAGTTTCTTTTGAATGCGTATTTTGACATCAGCTAAAGTCTCACCTTCTCGAATAACCAAGAAGAAAGGTTCACCAAAATTCTGAACTTGCTGCAAAAAAACATAAAATAATGACATGGAATTCGCAGGAAAACTGTTGTTCAGCTGAAACTGGCTTAAATTGCTGATTGCTTACACCCAGATAACAGGAAAGAAAAATGAATCGTAAAAATATATGTCAAATAACAAGCATGGCTAAGGAAATGGAAAATTACTGTATCTGGATGGAAAAAACTAATGCCAAAGATGACATTTTTAAGAAATGATGTAGGTGTAATAGGACACCAGCAACACAAAAGTAAAGCACGAAAATGACACAAACTGTAGTCAAGAAAATGACACAAAGGCATAAGATATGTAACCTCACGTGCCCTAGCACATGCCAAGCATGGACAGTCATGATGCAACGTTGCTTTGGCTTGGCACAAGGGTCTAGTTATAGGTCATATTTTCAAGAAAATAATTATGATAAAGACAAAATAAAAAAAAATTGTTGACCGGAACACAAAGCACACCACCTAACATTATTACAAAAGATACCATTTTTTTCAATTTTGTGAAGTAGCAAAATGTCTTGATTCAAGCCCAAGAAATATTTACCATTTGGTTCTGATTAGGATCTCGTGTGAAGTGGTAAACATGAATCAAGCGATCATGAGGACCAAGGTTTTTCTCCTCTTCTGGAATCTGCAATGGTGTACAAATAATTTCTTAGAAACAAGATCTCCTATATCTCCAACATATAATGCAAAATTATTTAAGTTTGGCCTCAGTAGAATATGTTTGCTGATAACATCAAACTCAATGGTCTATATTAACACAACAACAAAAAAAACAATTTCAACGAAAAATGTAGGACATGAAAGCACCCCAAGAAAAAGTGGTGACTCACCTCCTCTGCACGCAAAGTCCAATACTGATCATTAATATTTTCTATCTTTTCACCAGGTGGAAAGATCTGCATTAATCACAAGAATTAAACTACCACGAAGAGAAGTCATTAGGCGACCAAAATGGTCTCAATTTGAAAGACTGAAGCCTTAGAAGGTTCTGCCTAAAGGGTATATATCTAAATTTATGTTGTTTTAACTTTAAAACAACTGTCAATGACTAGTGCATGCTAGTCAAAGACATTCACACTTAAGCACAACCCTTGTATCAAGTCATATATTAACTGCTCATGTACAAGTGTTTCCTCCAATAGACAAGCCTGAAATAAGGCACATTTGAGTTTAATCTCGATCGGCAAGGACTGTAGCCAAGTGGTGCTCAGGGTTGATTATTCAAGGATTTATGGATGTTCGTTACATAAAGCAACCTAGATACTGGGAATCCAGTTTGAAATATTCAAGATATATTAGTAGTTTTGCTTAGATATAAATGACCAGAAATGGTACCTTATAGATCTTGTGATAGAAGACCTCAAGCAACCTGAGTTCTGCATCAGGATGAGAGAGCTCAACCTAATTAAAAGAAAAATAACATTAGACAATATATGCCATGAGAAGGGGCACCAAGTAAAAACAATAAGCAAATGGAGATCGATGAATGTCTCACTCTTCTATCACAAATGAATATCTGGCAAGAATGTGAATAAGTATGTCCTCACCTCCCTAAATAGTTAAAAGTATAACAAATTGGATAAAAAGACATAAAATTACCTTTGTCTTTAAATCATTGATTACATCAGCAACAGTACTATTTTTCGGAAGCCTGATGCTATGGACTGCCACCTGATACAAAAAAGTTGTAGGATGAAAATAGAGCAAATATTGATCACAAGAAAAGAAAAGATTTGACTAACCTCATCCTTTGTGGCATGGTGGAATGCAACTTTAAGAGTTTTCAGACCTTGCAATTCAGGCAGAGGAATATCCAATACCTCATAGTACAATATATCAGAAGTCTGCTCCAACCAACGCCATAAAAAGTTTGTTAGTTTTTAAGACAGTTTTCTCTTAGTAAAAAAGTTGGTTCTGGTAATAAATTATTTGCTTAGTTGAACAACCTGGTTATAGTGGACAAGCATTTCTGAGAGATGCTCTAGACCTCGGAACTTAATGGGTTGAGGTTTAGGCTGCTGCGAATAACAATTGTGAGATGTAAGACGAATTTTTGATGGATCATCCAGACCAAGTTGACGAGCAACTCTTTCAACAACATCATCATAGGTAGAAAGTTTTGACCTTAAAATGTGAAAAAGAATAATATATCAGAAGAAAGGTCAGAAAATAGAATTTATCCCAGAGACTTAAAGGAGTGATGATGTTTTCAAACACTTACAATTCTAAAGAAAAATCATCCTCCTTTGGCTTCTCCAATGATCGAAAGTGAACAACCTATGACATCACATAGTGCAATGCTTTAGTACCAACCCTTCGAAAACACAAGCTAGCTCAGGCTAGAACAGAACTCCAATGGGAACTAATTCAGGTTATAAAATCAAATCACAGAATGGGATAATTGGATATGCATCCAACATGCTGAGTATTGCAACAGTTCCATGTGTGTGTGTGTGACAATGCCACGGTATCATTAAAAAGATATCCATATGCTACTGCAAAGATAGAATTGAACCGTCAAGAAGAAAAAACAAAAGAAGTGCACCAATAGTTTTTCAATCAGTGTCAGAATAAAAAAAAATCTCAAAAGATCAAATAAGCTGAACTATTTGTGGGTCTTCATGCAATTAATTTAGTGCTGCCTCTACAATCAGGTGCTTGTGCTATTATACATTGTTATAAACACAAGGTTCTATCCACACTCTTTCCAACATAAAATAATCATACACAGAGTTCAAATTTAAAATTAAAAAAAACCAAAATCTAATAACTTTGACAAATCTTCTTTCCATCCACAAAATTAATTTAAACAAGAAGCCATATCACTCAACAAGAAAACATGGTCCACATCCATATGCTGCTCTCTCATCTTTTGAAAAGATTGAAACTCAAGTAGTTTAACTTGATTAGATTCTTCCCTCTCAACGTTTTAAGTTGAAAAAGAGAAATACATTTCGACAAACATTGCTGCACCTCTTTATAGAAATAAAAGGAGGTTTACTATTATCTGGTAGTAGTGAATAACATGAGGTTGCATTTCAATTTTGAAGAAAATTCTTCCAATAAAAAAAATTACCTTTGTAAAACATTTATTTTTCCTTTGGAGAAGAAAACGAGACAAGAATACAAGGTTGCACCTCAGAGTCCCATCAAATCAGAAAAAAAATCTAGACGGTGCTTTTACTCCTGCTATTTGTCGACCTACTTTCTTTTCCAATTTGATCTCCCTTTACATTAGTTGGAAAAAGTTTTGCAAATATATATAACCAAGAAAATTTAACATAAACACACTGCACCTGATAAAAGAAAAGCATACTCCCAGAAACTTGCACAGATTTCCTAAATCAATTAAATTTGTGAATAAGCTTACTTAAACTATCTATGCTAGAGATAGTGCTGTAAAGAAATCGCCGAAGACAGAAACTACAAAATTGCTAGGATTGCCATTCATACAAGACCAGTATAGGCAGACCTGGCGATTACGAACGTACTCCAAGAAAGAAGGAACATCAGGATATCGATATTGGTCACCATTTTGTAATGCGGAAGCTCTTTGATAGCAAATGATATCTCCATCTTCAAGCTGCAACCAGAGTTCCAGATAAACCAAAAACTGGAACAGAACAAGAAATTCCATAGCAAAAAATCGAAGGATTACAGACCTGGCTAGATCGGAAAGAGATCCGTTTGTCGATGTGTTCGCACATTACATTTGGTTCAAACTTTATTTCCTAAATATTGGAGCAAAAGTGAGATTAAAGGCCTTCCTTGGACTATAATAACAGTCGTATCCAAACTATTAATAGGGATATAAATGAATATTGCTATATCTTATTTGAGTGTGTTCTTTGTTCAGTTTGAAGTAATATAAAGATAATGATAGGATATCTGTATCAAAGTCTAACACATAAAAGAAAAGGTACTTTCATGTTTAGGTACATTACAATTCTAAGTCAATTAAAAACTTAAATCTTAGTTATTAATTCATATCATATGTTCAATATATTAATGAGTAGTTTCCTTGTATGAAATGAATATATGCCATAACTTTATATTAAAATTCTATATGCAGACTAAACAAAGAAATTCCCTTAAGAATGAGATACCCATCTTGTATTATCATCGGATTTTTCACATGAAAATCACTGAAATGCATGGCACACCGAACAATGATAAGTTGAACACTTGTGAGAGGTTTTTCCACTTTGTTGTTTCCTTTATCCAAATATAATTATTGCAAGCATTTCCACATTTTTTATAACAGATATGGTAAATGCTAATACCAGCTTATTACATGGATAGGACTTTTAAGACTTTACAAACCTCCAACTTAATATTGGCATCGCAGAAAAATAATCAATGTATGTATGATTATTCATGTATCTGGTGTTATACTTGTTCCATTTACATTCCAAAAATTAAAGGACAAATTACTTAAACACATAAAGAATTGATGGAAACTATTAAATACAATGAATAAATAACTAACCTCATAAAGTTCAATTTCTTCATTTGGAGAAAATCCAGCCATTTCATTCAATTTTAGAAGTATTTCAGTTGGTTTTCCTAAAGCCTTCACAAATAGCCTTCCTACAAATCTACATCCAACCACAAAAGAAAACAAAATATATGAGATTATAATGAAGCAAGATATATGAGAACAAGCCTTCGCCACACAAGTCACGTAATAGCCTCCTTGTTTGCAAGGAAAAACAGTATACATCAACACCCCACATGTACCACCGTTCTGGGAACCTCATGTACCAAGCCACACCTTTTGGATTGCAATTGAGTAAATTTGTAGTGAAGCAAAAAATAGCAGATCAAAAAATAGAAGTACCTCAGATCTTCTTTTTCAGGGTCATAGAGCTTGAAAAATAGTAGTATATCCTCCTTGGTTTTTTGTGGTGGAGGAAGAGGACGAAGATCCTATGTTGTCACAAATTAATATTTGGAAAATTGCATCAGACAATATGATAAATGGTTGGAGCCTTTATTGGAATCTTTTTATATTTATATATACAACGAAGTATGAGTGCAGAATGCTTTAAAGAGACCCAAACATATGTAGACTGCACAAATTTCTCAAAGTATATTACCGGTCCAAGCTCTATTTCCAAAAATAGCTTCAGTTCAGCATTATGTGCCTTATTTGATACCTCCCTAAGCTGTCCAACCTGCACATGTATGCAAGCATAAGACATGCAGCTTTTTTCATTGACCAAATGGAACTCAAAAAATAGCTTTTCTATACAAGAAGGACACATAGTTACACTCCATCTAGAAAAGACAGCGGATAATGGATATTAATTTAGATACATGAAGACAACCATTCTGTACTCAGTAGGAAATACAAAAAGGCAACCACAGACATCAAATAAAAATGAAATGAATAAATATTAAAAATTAAAATGTGAGGCTTCACCAATTCCATCACATAACATGGAATTCACAAGCTGGAATGAGAAAAACTGTGTAAAACAAAAATTTTAGTATAAACTTTCATCTCATTATAAGTCTGAAGTCTTCTGAAACAAGACTGAACCAATTTGTAATTCTTGCCTCCAAAACTACCAAATTATGATAAGTAATGATGCTAAGGATAAGAACAATAACTTATGATTCCAGAAGAATCACAAAGACAGCCCACAAGTACAAAAAGACAATAGGACTTAATAATGAACCTAGTTATACTTGCAATAAAGAACAGACATTACTAATTGTCAATGCCAATGGATAAGTTTCATGAAGGTTTGGAGTTTGTACAACCATTTGGCCAGTGAGTAGTAGGTCAGGACCCAAATCTCTTGGTCCTAAAAGGCAAATGATCACCACACTTTATTAAGAAAAAAAAGCTACTTTAGGTGGACTGAATCACTCTTGAAATTTTCAGTGGTGATGTGGTCAGCCACAGACCTGGTGCATAGGACCCATGCATGTGTGCCCCAATACAGCCAATTTATCGCCCACATTGGCCCTGAAAAATTAAAGGGTTAAGTTGACTATTCTAAATACCAGTATTCACTATTCACTTTATTAATTTTTTAAAGTTTGAAAAACAGCAAACAAAGAATTCATCATGAAATGAGCAGATTTCAGTTATCCCAGTTCTCACACCACATCTAAATACAAACAGCTCTAATAATTGCATCATTTCATGTTCATGTGGGGACATTGTACCCAGGTTGGCATAAGTGCAGCATCTTGATAACAAATAGATATGCCATTCAAATTTTGGATAAAAAAAGTTTCTGTTTTTGGAATTAGCATGTATTGCTAAAGGCAGATCGATATTAGAAAACCAAACAGAAAAGGAGAAAGAATGCAGAGGATGAATAAGTTTAAGATCCACAAATTGACAAAAAAGGAAAACAACATATCGATGTTGCATAAATAAATACTCACGGATTGTACTTCCTCCTGAGGTGTTAAAGGTCGATTGGGACGGTATGTATGGTTTTGCCTCTTAGCCCACAGCCAAAAGCGCTGAAACTGCACTGGGATCCCAAATTCTTTGGCCACCTCCTCCTGACAAGTACATTTTTATGGGACCAATGATGTCACCAAGAAAATTTCCAAAAGGGCAACAGAAGCAGCATTATGACTAAAGACTAACAGCAAAATCTTCGATGACATATGGAGATTATCTTATGTATCACAGATCTTGAGGTTCAATTTACTTCAATAATGACCGGTTTGTGAATGGTAGAAAGGATACCAAGATTATCTTGAGTATCACAGACCCTGAGGCTCAATATATATATATATATATATATATATATATATCAATATTGAGGGGTTTGCACAAGGTATAAAGAAAACCAGCCTTCTAAGAGGAGTAGCTGGGACAGCTAGATGATTGTATCTTGTCAATTTTACTTCACAATACAAGCAAAAAAGACCACAATGGATATCAGGACTCAGGACATAACTATGCACATAAAATTGAGTATTCCTACGTTAGCTTTTCTGACTTTTGACTGAATTCTTCTTCTGACATCTTTGTTTGAAGCAAACATGCACAATCAAGCATGTAAAAGAAAAGCCAAAAATCTACAGGCCCAGAAGAATGGAGTGCAAAAAGATGATGAAACCAGAATGGCCTCAATGAAATGTACCCCATATCATCCATTAAGATGATGTACCGAATATTGAAGATAGCATACTACCTCCCAGAGACACAGAGCAATGGATTGAAAATTCTGAATGCCAAATAACTACAACTCAAATTTGCACCTCTTGTCTCCTTGCTGCTTAATGGAATCAGTTCTCAGTTTCATATGTTATATTCCCTGACCTTTATGTCCTTTCAAACAACAATATATTTTATATATACATCTTTTATTCCACAACTTCCTATGGTTCTGGACTGTTATTGACCAAACTAGCTGAAAAGTGCATCAGAAACTTCTAAACACAATGACCTTCAAGTTCCTGTGTCTAATGAACATATCCATGACAATATATAATTTACACAAAAAGGTTTATAAAATCAAAATGCAACTTAACAAATAAGATAAAAATTTTCTTCAGGGATCAGAAGGATCCACCAGATGTTTACACATACATAAACATCCTGATGAATTTATTAGCAATTTGCATTTCATTCAACTAACTTAATCACTTCTACCTTAAAATGGCTGAATGGCAGTTGTTTCTGGATACGAAAGCTCCGAACTTTGTCATGGTCTACAAGATCAAAAAATATTTCCCTTCCAATCTGTTCTGCCAAATCCTCATTCCGAGCTACCTGCACAGGTCAACAGATTTATTCCATTAAACTGAAGGAGAGGGAATAAAAATTATTTCAGAACACAGGAACCCTATGGTAGACCTTTATGATGGTATAAAGGTGAGCCTCAGCTTTCTCCTTCTTTTTGTGCTCCTTCTCTTCTTGTTCTTTCTTCAATCTTACCTGTAGAAAGATATTAAATTGTGAATATCTCAAATACAACCAACAAATAACCAATGAATTTTCAAATACTATCTTACTCTAAGGTGCTCTGCGATGTCTTTCTCATCCACGTTACACATTATTTTCTCCTTGTCACTCTCGCGAATATATACAAGCATGTAAGCATTTGAATATTTTGTAAATTTAAATGGAGGATTATTGAAGCCAGGATTTGTCTGAGGTAACTGTTGACAGAAGTGGTGAAAATTAAAAGTAGAATATAAATGAAAATTAAAAGTAGAATATAAATGGAACTAAGGAAGACATTAGCATCAAAGAAGACCATGGTTACTGTTCAAACCTCTTCTTCACCACCATACTGCTCCTCCAATGCCCTTTTTGCATCTTCCTTTGTTACTCGCTCATCATCAAACTTAAACCTGAAAATATATTATTCTTAACCATCATGTTTATAAAAAATATTTGCTACCATGTAGTAAGCAGCTAAAAGATCGGCAAGAACACTGAAAATCACTGGTAAACATCAGACAATGAGCAAAATACAACTCTTGTTCAATTTACAGCAAAAGGAACAGCAGTTGCCACTGATCACAGTCCAAAATTTATTTGGTAAAGGTGTGGCTGCTTAATGGTTCTTTTAAAAGTTTTTACACCACATGCACATAATAGTAGTGCCCTTCTGGGAAAGGGTATGTGAAGGCTAAATACCATTGATCTGATAGAGTTGGTCGGATGAAAGCATAATAATGTCCCCCGTGAACTCCACCACTGTGAACAAGAACACTGCAAAAAGGAAAAAACAACAAATCAATAGATCATTTTATAATAACCAAATTCTGCAGATCATAAAACATTTTGGCATGAATGACTAGGCAACATAATATACCTTACTGTTGCTAATAACTAGTTATTCATATTAGACACTTGAATATTGACTACTGTAATGAATTAACAATCAACTAGGTGTAGGCAGTAGATACTGACAAGGCACGAAGATCTGTTGATAATATGTTTTCAACTGCATATAAAACTTTTTGAGTGTCATACTATAAAATAATGATACTGGCAAAATAATCTTATAAGATAGACCCATATATTCAATAAAAAATATCACTCTGAACAAATGAGAAAAAATAAAAAAAAATGATCCTGGCTTGAACTACAAATGTTTCTTGCTTTTATTTCCACATGCATTTTGAGACAGTTGTTATTTGTCAACAAGTGGAATTTGGCGAAAACCAAGATGTTAAGTAGACATCTTTCTGCTGTTCAAAAGTATCAGTGTGATTTAAATATATCAGTCATGTCATCTTGAAAATAGCATAAAAGACTGGTGGGTCTCTGCTGGATGTACCTACCTCGAGCAGTCGAGCAATAGAGGTCATCACCAAAAAGCTTTAATCTACTGACCATTTTGTACATAGTGATCATCTCAAAAGATATACTCCACTGACTATTTTGTATTACATATCTCAACTGCTGAAATGACTCCGAAAAACTAAGGACCAATCTAGCTACAATATAAGGTATTTAAGGACCTCACCTGAAAAATCATAATTAAAGTGATATTCCAGGAGGTGGCGTACCAATGCTATTGTATTTTCTTCAAAATAAAACCAAATCTTACTAGATGAGGATACAGGTGTCATGTCCTTTGTGCAATGTTTAGAGACCAGAAGAAGACCAGTAGGGAGTGTTTGATCAGGAGATTGAAGGAATGAAGACAACAACTGCAGGAATAAACCTCAAGTTCTACAATACCTCCAATGCCTCTTTTATTGATGAAAATTTTATAAAGACATGTATTGTTAGATGCTTACAAAATCAGGAAGAAAAAAATATTAATAGTGAATACAAACAGTTTTGTAGTCAATCAGAAGCATAGACCATCTAGAAAAAACTATGCCAAACAAAACTAAGAACAAGTATAACAAAGATATAAGTCAAGATTTCATGCAAATGATGCACATGTAGAAGTGAATTAATGTTCCACAGAACCAAGTGTACCAGGAAAATAATATGATGGCCAGCAGCTAATTTTTTCCTCTGCTTCAAAACACCAAGCAAAAAATAAAAAAACAGAGAAAGAGAGCAAAAACATAGAAGCTTGTTTAATGCACATAAATAAACCCTAGTGTATTAAATGGATACATGGCCATAAAGAAAAAGATGGTTACCTGTGAAGGGTATAGAGGTTACGAACCCTCCTGTCTGCTTCTGGAGAAAGATATTTACCATTATCTCTATCAAGGTCCAACTGAAGTGGGAACTCGTAACGGTCATTTATCTGCATTCCAAAAATAATTGGTCATAGATATGAAAAAAATCATTCAAGCTCCAAGAATGATAATAGAGAAAATATATAACAGTTGTTTAGAAGCAAAAAAAAAAGCATTTCTCATAATTGTTTAGAAGGTATGGCAAATACAGTTATTTGTGAATACACTGTAAATACGTCTTTTAACAATATAAAATACTTATGATATTAAGTACATAAAAGTGGAGAGCAGTGAAAAGAGATAAATGATATCCAAGGCAGACAAGACCTTTAATCAATGTTCATCAAGGTCAGTATGGCTAGTGCAATTTATAAATTTAAGCAAGCTTCCATCTATAAACTCTATGGAGAGGCCCATGAAATCATCTCCCCTTCGAAGAGTTAACTCAGTTGAAAGTCCTTAAGTAGCTCTAATTCTTCCAAAACAACATAACCACATGAAGCAAGCCCATATAACCATCCCACTCAGAAATTCCTTAAACATTAGAAATGGTCTGTCCAGAGTAAATCATATTTATATCCTGCCTGAAACTGCAAACATTACTATGATATGTATTCAGCATAGAGAAAATTTCCTGGTGCTTAAAGATTGCAATGTATCAGAAAGAAGCAACAAAAGATGAAAGAATGTGGTTAAAGATTGCAATGTATCAGAAAGAAACAACAAGAGATCAAAGAATGTGGTTCATCTGTCAATAAGAGCAACCAAGGAACAAATATCAGAAGCTCTTGTTGCCCACTCACGATAATTACCAGCAACTAATTTTGTGATTCAGCAATGCACAATCGTAACTGCTGATTCTCCTTGTCTTCTATGTTTCATCAGGTATCTAGTGATTTTGATAAGGTTGAAAATGATAATATGATGTGACCTCTTAGACATACATTTCATTCAAAACACACAACAGAGCATCACGAAAACCACAGCAATGAAAGGGTCAACGGCTCATATTTAGTGTCCTAAAGAAAGTCATATTAAAGGTAGGTAGCATATGAATTAGCAAGACGCCAATCCTTCCTCCCTGTAAGACTAAATCTCTTTAAACAATCTCTTCGATAAACAATGATGTAAAAGTCCAAATCATAATGCCTCCAAGAAAAAAATAACATTGTATCACGCATTTAGTGGCTGCTCTGTATATGTTCATCTACAGTTTTGCCAAATCACTAACCTTCACCATTGTATCACGCATGAAATCATATTCAAAGCGCTTTAGCTGAAGTTGCAGAACAGGGGGGAAGTCAATGAATAGAACACCTTTCTTAGCATCCTGAGAGAATCACAATCATAGAGTCATGAAAAGAAAATTCTCATTCAAAACTGAAATTCAGAAGAATAAATTGAAATTTTTTCTTTTCAAGTAGAAGACCACATTTTAGAGGGCAAGCCTTAGCATCATATTTAAGCCCCGGTATCATGTTTAACTCACTCTTTTGTGATTTAAGTTAGTAGCGTCTGGGTGACATATATATAGGTAAGACCATGTGCATCGACCATTCCTAGACTGGTATCTCTTTGGCAATGGCTCAATTTTCTTTTTTTTAATATGAAAAAGTCAATACAAGCTTGAATTTCTGAGAATAGCAGATAACACATTTTTTCCTCATTTTTTTCTCTTGATCTGAATTTCTGAGAATATCAGATAATGTGTCCATTCCTCATTTTTCTTGATCCTTCGAGAAGGCCTTTAAATAACATATTTAAAAAATATCAACCACTAATTGCTAAAAGAAAATGTTTCAAATACGTATGCTGCCACAAGTGATGTGGATGAGCACTGAAGCTAGTATTGTGCATCATTATATGAAAATGAAGTGAGTCGCACGCAGGAAGGGTATATTATGCATTTCAATAGGTATTATCATTCATGGTTACTGGACAATGTTCCATGAAGTTTAAATCAAACTATAACTATTATCGTGGTCAAAACTATACGAGCAAGAAGTATAAAAAGCATCAAAGTGTGAGCTAATGCAAATAAAATTGAATGGAATTTACTTGATAGTAAAATAATGGAAAAAATAGGACTGACTATGGATTCAAGCCACAGCACACGATGTCATAAAATCAGTATGATTTTCCCGATCTAAATCAAACAGGTTTTACATGAAGAAGATTTTGTTCTAACATGTTCTATTTGATACTGTTAGGAGAAGAGACTCAGTATTGTTAAAGGAGGGGAAGCAGAACCAAGGGGGCTAAGTAAATCAATGGATAGTCTTGATAGCATTCAACATATCAGTCAAAGTAAACAACTTATTCTAAATGATACCCTAGAAAAAAATTCCTAGTTGTAATCATAGTGGTAGTTATATTTTCATTAATGTTGATTATTTATTTGGAACCATGGATCTTTGGAGTTTGATCAAATGATGACGCTTTTTTAAGTTAGAACACCAACACCTCAAACCACTATACAAGGTGAAGACACAAAATGATTGTCCAAAAACTACTAAAAGAAAACTTTTATACATAGAGAGAAAGTAAGCTTTAAAGATCTGGTACTTCCACTGAAGCTATAAATGCTGGTTTATGAGTTCATATGAAGATTAGCATTTTGGTTCAATGTACCTGTAAGCCATAATTTTCTGCATGATATTTATTATCACCCTCCAGCCGCTCGACTTCAACATACTTATCAAATGAAGCATAAACATCCCGGCAGCCCTTTACATCAAGCTGCAGATCTATAAAAAAAATACAACTTTGATATAATGAAAAAAATAATGGAAGAAAAAGTCTACTCAAATACTTGCACACTCATGGCAGCTACAGACCATAGAACGATTCCTTTCTGGTGGATTTGTAGTCTACATTTATGCATTCAATATAATTCATGTGATGTCCTTCAAACAGATGCTGGATTGTGCCCTCAACAACAGTACCCTGGGACAAATATTGGAAATGCAACAGTTTGATTAATAATATGAGCGGATATCAATGTAACACCTTTTAGCAGAATTTTCTAACCTTCATCTTGTCTTCCAATTTTTCACAAAGAACCCTGTTGAGCTCCTGGACATCATGTTGCATGAAAGAATCATATGTATCCCAACCAAAAGATTTTGTCAACTCTTTTGTGGCAACACTGTTATCACTGTACTGAAGTTTATAAAACAGGCTCTGCAAAGCCAGAGGGATGCTTCCAGATGGCATATCATTCTCTGTCGTCGGCATGTGATAAACAGCCTGAAATATGAGCAAGTAATGATTCATTGAACAAATTGATGATACAAAAATTAAATAAGCAGTCAGTTCTACCTTTCTAAAATATGGAATATGATAGAGAGTCTGAAGAAGAGAATTCATGTAACAAGTAGCCCCTTGATTTTTAAGACCAACATAACCCGTTTCCTTTTTCGAGTCATAACTCCAGTAGTCTACCATCTTACGGACGGTAACTTCAGCTTCAATTACACATGTATCGTTGACAAGATATCCTCTACTTGGATCATAGAGTTCACTCAGAGACATAAATGAAGTGAACCCCCAATCACTTTCTCGTGAATTAAATTGGTGTTGAGTCTCTGCAAAGAAAAAGGATCAAGGTCAACAATAGTGCCAACAGTATCAACAATTCTCATACATATATTTTTAACAAAAAAAAGAGATAAAAATCTGCTTAAATTTTTTTCTTTTTTTTTTGCAAAATCCTGATAAAACATGTTATCAGAAAATTGACAATCCATGTCAAGTGATTGTGAGAACCAGCAGTTCCAACAAACAATGGTGATCGTTCCATGGTCTAGAAAAGCATTGATCACGCTAGTTGGGAATACAGAAGGAGAGAAAGCCTGTGATGATATCAAAATATCCAGGTATGTGCAACATCCACATTTCAGAAAAATCAAATGGAAGTTTCCTCAAACTGCTGATAGAAATAGCTTAACTCATAAAGATGTCCAAACTACTGATAATTATCAGCCTTCTGAAAAATTTTTAGACCATCCTCAACTCAAATATTCCTCGAGGATTTCGTTTGTTTGATCCAATGGATGTCAACATTTGGGTTCTTAAAATGTCATCTAAACATATTTTTTTCTTCCAAAAGACATTCAGCCACTCTGTATAGCGTTTTAGCTAATTTTGAGAAGTCATTTGCAATGATATTTTGAGTGGTGGAACTGCCATGTAGGTAACATTTCCACGAACACAATGTGTTACTAGTAATGTTTTTCATGGTCGGTGATGGTTGCACTCATGCGGCCAAAGAATGCAAAAGGTTTACTTGATATTATGTGAAGCAAGATAGATAATGAGAATGTTTCCGAAGTATAGATGTGGAAGTGGAATAATCTGGAAACAAATTGTATAGAGAGCTCATTTGTAAATTGACATAGAAAATGTATTAACACAATAGAAAAAGAAAATATATATTGGCCTGGTGCCTAATTAATAGTACAGATAAGTAACTATCGTGTTACACAGGCTCACCCATCACACACACAAGATGATCCGGAGGCCTGTGTGTCTGCAGGTTTAACACCTACCGAACTCCTTGATATTAAAATATTTTTCATTTAAGAAGCGGATCTTAAAACTTCTTATCAGACTAAATTCCAATGTTTTACATTCTCATAATGTTACAACATAGGAATCATATTGTCCTTTTACATATTCTTCCCCTATGTGTCCACATATCTCCATTTTGTTTCATTGCTGAATTTGTACTTGGTTATACTCCATAACAGATTTCCATGAATGTCACCATGCAACACTAGAACTATATGCTGTAAGAAAATGATAAAAGAATGTATTGACAGAAGAAGTGAGATACCTTTTCTTACAGTGTACTTTCCGTGGATTTGGTTAACAACAGCAAGTGAGAACTGTGCATATCTACTCCAACCATATGGCAAGGTTGTTGAATCAGCAACATCCAGGTATATAGACAAATGGTCAACATTATTTCCCTTGGGAAAAATTAGCACACGCCTGTAACCATGAAAGCCAACATTAGCACTTGAATCTCTTCTAATTCCATGCCCTAACAAATTGAGATGAATCATGTCCGTAGAAAATGGAGAAAGAAGAGGCACTAAAGATATCAGCTCACCACTTGTACGCTCCGACATAGAAAATGTCGGAGTAGAGCTTCTTGACGTTCAACCTGGAGAAGTTCTCTATCGTCCATCTAAATTTGAACGAAGGAGGATCCTCCACCTGCTGATTCTCTGGTGCGGACGCTGTCTCGGTTGGTATAACTAGCACGAACGTAAAGCAGAAGAACATATCATAATCAAAACCCTAAACCATCACTGATCAAGAAGCGATGAGAAGCATAACCAAAAGCAATTCCAGCTTAAGGGGACAAATCACGAGATTCCGGAAGCAAGGATTAGACTGTTTGATCAATCAGGAGACACAATGACGATATCAAGAGCAGTTACCTTCCATCGGCTGGGGTCCCTCGGTGAATTCCTGGTGCGGGACCAGCATCTCTTCGTCCTCCTGCTGCAAAAACGAGGCACAACAATCAGCGCTCAGATCCAGCAAAAACCACACTGCTGCGATCAGAAAGAACACCCTAGGATCCAGGTCGAGGGTCAATGGATGTCCCAATTAGGCCCGATTCGTGGGGGACCGCACACACTCCAAACCCTAAGACCGACGTGAATCGCACTGGAACGAGCAAGACTAAGGCGCGAGGGCAAAGCACCTCCTCCATCCAACGAATCAGGAACTGCGGCGGTGAACGGCGAGGAGAGGTGGGGATTGGGAGAGGCGTACCTCGAGAGGGGGCGGAGTCATCATAGTCATGGGTGGGTGGTCGCGGCGGCGACGGCGGCAGCGGGAGAGGATCCGATCCGCGGCGGAGGATGATAGCCGGTGGAGGACGGGAATTAGGGGAGGGAAGGCGGAAGCGACCTTTTACGGGATCGAGCGAGGAGACCGAAACGGGAATTGGGTACAGACGACGGCCGCGGGTTTGATTTCTTGTGGTTGTATAGGGTACCAAGAGACCTCACCGGGGGCCCGCGTTATGTGCAGCGTATGCGGGCCTCGGTGCGATCGTGTGTGGCGACGGCTCATGTGCCTCGCGCACGGGAACTCGTAGAGCTTTCGCGTCGCAGGCGCACCTTCCCCACGAGTTTCTCCTCTCTCACCAATGAGACAGGGGACCCGCTCGTGCTGTGGGCCCCTTGTGATTCAGGAGGAGGTCGGCGGGCGGAAGCTTGAGACGACGTGCGTTTGGATTCCCTGGGAACGTGTGTCTCTCTCGGAATCGGGTCGGACTCACTTGGGAACCGCATCTAAGTCCGACGGGTCCATAACGGATTCGGGTTGGTCCTGATGCTGTTTGTCCCATAATGTATGTACATCAAAGAATTATCATCATGAATTCGAAATTATTGTGATCCGTTTGCTAAATTAACTGTCATTACTCTCAAATGCACAATTACAGAAATCCATTGCTAAGAATAATTTAATTATACCTCCCGGACAGCAACAGTCATAATTACTTGTGCGACAAGAACGACTCCGAGTCTCCAAGTAAAAGTCCGACACGCCATTGACAGCCAAGCCGGTCAAGCCATGTTATTTTTATTGACTGATGTTGCTTGATGCTTTGCTAGTCATACCTTTAGTTCTCGTTCGGATTGAATAAAACGAACAATATAATCATCATCATCATCGTCGTCGACGTGGTCGCATCATATCTATATCTAATCAATTTTTACCATTTTGATCTCATGATGACAAATATCGTCACCGCGTGAGAGGGTTGCGTACCCATCTGCCTTACATGTCGTATACGCGTATGTATCATCGAAAGGTTTATGAACTACTATTGTTTTGGCTGAGTATGGTATGATTTGTTTTAGGAATATTAAAGCCATAAAGAGATCGCTTTTGGAATATATGTGGTGGATGTATGTTAATCGGATCAAAGGTGTTCATGAACTACTACTATTGTTTCTGGAATATGAAAGACGTGAAGAGATCACTTTTGCCAAACTTGCCACGATTGGTTTTCGAGAAGACGAAAGAGCTAAGGATAATATGATATCGATAACACGAGCACAAAAGCTCTTCTCTTAATTGAAACGTCGACGTTTTATTCCAGAATCGAATGCCTCAACTTAATCCCGACCGCAAGAGAAGCAGAAATGCAGCATACGAAGGCAAACACGCACCGTAGTGCAGCACACTGAAAGCGAATAAGGTCTTCAACGGGCAAAGATCATCGCCGTGGTCAGTGCCACCGCCGCTACCATGATCTGGTACGCGTACGAAGCGACTACGTTCCGCGAGATCGACGACGAGGAAGGAGGCGGAGCAGGGCTCACGGACCCCGACATAACGTTGACGACAAGCTTCTGGCCCCTGCTGCAGTGATCTCCGAACCCACAGATGTACCAGCTCTTTCCTGTGGCGTTGAGAGGCACCACATCACCGCCACTGGTAAATGTGTTGATCGTCGCTGCTGATGTGTTGCATGCCTTGTAGTCTGCTCCTCCCACTTGCATGACATTGTGAGCCCCTTGTTTGTAGTTGAACACTGCAAAAGCACTCACTCGTCATTGTCTACTACGTGTTCGATGAATTTGCAATCGTGCGTTGGATACGAACTCCAAAGTGAAACACACATCACATCAAGCAGCAAGAAAACTCGAGCAAGGCACCGCTCAGTCCGCAAAGAAAGCGTAATTGCTCACCGAGGTTGTCGCCGACCATGAACATCTTGCCGTCGGTCCAGGCGGTGTAGTTGAAGTCCGGGTGCCAGCCACTGGCTTCGCCGACAGTATGGTTTGCCGCCATAGAAGATTGAGGCATGGCGGCAGCGGCGACGATGACAAGAACTGCAAGAAGCATCCGGGGGGAAGCCATCGGGGGCTACGGGTCGATTGCTGTAAGCTTCTCAAAGCTTGATGTGGTCTGGTGTTTGGGTGAAGAGGAAAGGCAGGCTGAGGCAGGTATATATAGCGCATCGGCTTGGACATTGTCTACGCCCATGGTTCAAAAAATACATGGGTCAGCAGGCGGAGGTCGGCAATGGAATGTTGCCAGCTACTTTAGGCTTTGTGTTAGCTGTTTCCTGCAGCATGCAACAAGAGATATAAGCCAGACAAAGAGAAGGAAGAGGACAAGGAGAACACCAGCTGTCTGCATGGCCGGACCTCTCCTCCGGCGACATTGCCGATGGAGCTCTAATACTTAATATGGTATATTCCTCTCATTTCCGTAAGAGTATAATCAAATGGTATAAGAAAAATGTTCATATCTCACATAAATGTTCAAACTAAACTTTACTAATTATTAAGGAAAAATACACGATTGTTCACATCATCGCGAACCAAAAATATGAAGTTTCGAATGTCAACCTTCCATCTAAAAATTACATGATTTGATTGTACTTGGCGAATCAATTAGCTACACTATTTTGCTTCCTAAAAATATGAAGAAAAAAAATTATATTTAATAAAACAAGAAGTCAATCCTTTAATCTTCGCGACTAAAGTAGTCCCAATCAATTCGACTCAAACTCATCTAATTTAAAATATTAACATAATTTCAGAACTATAAGAATGTTCGAATTTATTGGATGTGGAGATGTGAGTTTAATCTAATAGAAATATTGTAAATAATGGTGGTGATGATGATAATAATAGCAAAAAAAAAAATGAAAGAGTGATCAAAATGGTAATAAAGATAATGACCATTGATAACCAGCACAAGTTTAACTTGGTATATAAAAGTATTAAATTTTTGAAAAATATATATATATATACCAATTTTCTAAAAAATATACAAAATAAAAAAAATTGGATAACCGGTTTTGAAAGAGAATATATTTTTTATTATTAGTCAATAATTCTATCTTATAATTCGTTTAATTTTTTAGCTATTTTAACAACAAGAATGAGGTCATTAGTTTGGAGGGTTCCAAGCTTTAATACTGAGGCTTGTATTCTTTTATGCTTGCTCTACCATTGGGTTTCCCCTCCTATAAAATCGTCACGGCTACAAGACATTTCTCTGAACTTATTATCGAATCGATTAGGACTATATGTATAGCCTTTAATTAATTATATCATAATTTAAAGAGTTAAACTCAAGTTAAGCATATTCAAATCTAAAGCTCATGCTAGCATGAAGCTAATTAGATATAAAAATTAACTCAACATACTATTTAAGTCAAGTCCATCGAAGTGATTATTACATGACGTTTATACGTAGACTTCAACTTGAAATCTATTATTATTCGTATAATAATTCACTAACTCATCGACTATATTGATATCTCTTTTCCTCGTGAACTGATGCGGCTTAGCCAATGCAATGGATCACAAATCTTGCTCAAGCTTGCATGTTGCTACTATATATAGATAGATGCGCAAACAGAAGAGCTTTAGGAGTCATTAAGCGCAGATAAATTACTTGTCCAGTGACAAAGATGATGAAAGGAACATCTTATTTGGGAACAGATGTTGCGTCAACTTAATCCCCTACAGTGAGACAAGCATAAACATTACATGGTGGAACAAACACATCAATCCGGAAACAATGCAGCCTACTGGAACTTGATCCATTGTTCATGCCGCAATGGCCATCGCCACCGCCACCGTCGCCGCCATCAGGATCTGGTATGCTTGTGCCGTGATTCTGTCCGACGCGCGAGACGTGGAGGGAGATGGAGCAGGACTGACAGGTGGCGGAGGAGGTGGTGTAGCAGGAGTGGAGGGTGATGGTGGTGGCGAGGTAGGAGGTGAAGCAGGAGCGACGGGTGTTGGTGGTGTGGGAGGTGAGGTAGGAGGAGAAGCAGGACTGAGGGGTGGTGGAGGAGGAGGAGGTGGTGTAGCGGGAGCGGAGGGCGATGGTGGTGGTGAGGTAGGAGGTGAAGCAGGAGCGAAGGGTGGTGTGGGAGGTGAGGTAGGAGGAGAAGCAGGACTGAGGGGTGGTGGAGATGGAGGTGGTGAAGCAGGACCAGAGGGTGGTGAGGCAGGAGGCGAAGCAGGGCTGATGGCTGCTGGAAGAATATTGACGACGAGCTTCTGGCCCCTGGTGCAGTGATCACCAAACCCACACATGTACCATCTCCTTCCAGGAGTGTCCAAAGCCACCAAATCATTGCCGCTGGTGAAGGTGTTGATTGCTACTGCTGATGTATTGCATACCTTGAAGTCTGGTCCCCCGACCTGCATGACATTGTGAGCCCCTTGCATGTACTTGAACACTGCACCAAAGCACTCACTTGTCATTGCCTGCTATGTGTTTGATCCATTTACATATGCTCTACAAGTATCTATCTGTTTTATGCAGTTCTCAACATCTGATATGGCTTACCGAGGTTGTCGCCAACCCTGAACTCCTTGCCTTGGGTCCATGACGAGTAGTTGAAGTTCGGGAGCCAACCGGAGTCGTCGCCGACAGTAAAGTCTGTAGCTATGGCAGACTGTGGCACAGCGACGGCGGCGGCGAGGATGACAAGGACTGCAAGCAGCATATGGTGGGAAGCCATTGGAGCCAAACTCGACTGCTCGAAGCTCCTCAAAGCTAGCCTTGAGTTTGGATGCAGAGGAAACGCAGGCTGAGGCAAGCATATATAGATATGCATGACACCTTGGCTTGAACTATGTCTAAGGTCATCGGGAGCAGCAGGCGGAGGGCGGCAATGCAGCGCAGCCAGCTAGCTTAGACCTCGAGTAAGCTGTTGCCTGCAGCATGCAGCAAGCGATACAAAGAGGACGAAGAAAACGAAGAGGACAGAGACAGTGACATTGGCACTCTTCTCACAATGGATGTTGATAGTAATATAGAGATTTGAGACTATGACGCAATATTGTCATTCTGCTCACAACGCAGAAGAGAAGAACTATAGTTTCACAAATCAATTTTCACTCAAATACAAATTTTAAATCATCATAGTCAAATATTTTAATCATAATCAAACTTAAATTTAATTTTATAAGCTCTAGCAACATTGAGTTAACATCGAAGCCTCATTTCGGTTTGGGGCTTCCATGCTAAAACATTAAGATATTTAATTTTCTTATATTTATTTTTCATTATTTTTCTTATTTTTAGGAAAATAAGACTACTCAAAGTGTGTGAAAAATGCTTAAAACTTTAAAAATTTTCTAAATAACGCTTAAACTTAAAAAAAATATTAATGGAAACTTGTAGCTCCTCCGCGACTAAAAACAGAGGCTATAGGTGAGGGCAAGCCATCCACGTTCTTCTTTGCCCATGGTTGACGTCGAGGGGAGGCTGTTGGCGACGACGATGAATCCAATGGAGATAGAAGTAAAATGATCCCTGATCATGTGATCAGGGATATTCTATGAAATTTTTTTGAAGTTGGGATATTGAAAATTTTTAAACTTATGAGCTTTTTTGATAAATTTACCAATATATATGTATATATATATACATTTTTACTTTTATTTTGCACAATAAAATTGATGCAACAAAGGAAAGGAAGAGAAGGCATCCATGTTGCACTGCACCACAATATTATATGCTATCTCCTTTTTTCTTCCAAAAGAATATAATCATGGCTCTGTTCATCGATGAACACAAAAAGGAATACAATCGTGAAGGTCAATTAGTCCTTTTTCTGTATTGTTTTAGAGATTTTAGTATACATAGTTAATCAATAAACATATTGGTGATGTTGACTAATCCATCGCAATGCCTTGGAACTCACGTTCAAATCCCCCCCCAAGCTAAGAAAGAACATTCGGAATACAAAGATTCGCTCTTCTTCTTTATTGAAAGCTTTGACCAGTGTAACAACATCCATTTTAATATGTATCTTTCAGATCATGTATTTACCCTCTCCTTCAAGCATATGCTTACAGCCAGCCAAAATGCATCGACCCTAATTTACGATATCCATCTTTCCATGACGCATTTCGAGTCATGTATTTTTCCTGCTTAACGAATGCATTCATCACATTTTGAGTACAGTTACTCTACGCTCTCAATGGGAAGAAAGATGAGCCCAACGTGAGACAAGCATACGACACACAACACATCAATCTTGCAACAGTGCAGCGTCGTGGAAGGTAGCCGATGAAGCATTCATGCCGCAGCGACCATGGCCGCCGCCGCCGCCGCCATCAGGGCGTGGTATGTTCGTGCTGCGATCAGGTTCGGCGAGCGGGATGATGAAGGAGGTGGTGAAGAAGGAGCAAGTGGTGGCGGTGGAGGTTGTGAGGAAGGAGGTGAAGCAGGACTCATGGCTGCTGGTAGAACGTCGACGGCAAGCTTCTGGCCCCGGCTGCAGTGATCTCCAACCCCACAGATATACCATCTCTTTCCTGGGGCGTCGAGAGCCACCATGTCATTGCCGGTGGCAAAGACAATGGCTGCTGCACTTGCACTGCATGCCTCGAATTCGACTCCCCACACTTGCATCACGTTGTGAGCCCCTGCTTTGTACTTGAACACTGCGCATGCATTCATCACTCTAGTTTGATGCTTGAAATTTAAAGAGAAAACCTAAATTATGATAGTTTAATTCTTCAACCATTCTAATATATTTTTCCAAGATTCTTTTCTTGTTGCTTGCTTGAGATATGTTTCTTTCTTCTTTATATTTGTTTTGCTCTTCTTGTTCAATCATTGAAAGAGACTTACCACTACTTAATCCTCAATCTGCCACACTGTTTTGAGTGCTAGAGTTTAATATAAGTTGGACCCTTTTTTAATAGTTTAAGATATTTGTCATGAAACTTTTATCTCCATTTTTCCCCAATGAATGTGAGAGTTTGATATTATTTTTTTAGTCCTCTTTTTTCAACCATTCTAACGAAAAATCTTTATCAATCATTTTACACAACTTACCGAGGTTGTCGCCAACCTTGAACTGCTTGCCCTGAACCCAGGATGTGTAATTGAAATCTGGGAGCCAACCCTTCTCATCACCTACAACGATATCTGCTGCCATGGCAGACTGTAGCGCAGCTGCGGCGAAGGAGAGAACTACGAACATGGTCTGCAGGGAAGCCATTGGAGCTCAAGCTGGCAGCTATAAGCTTCTCAGAGCTCGACGTGCTAAGTGAGGCACATATAAGTACACTACGTCTTGGCATGGACATCATCATCTTCCGCCGTTGTTGGTGGAGTCAGCTTGCAGGCGGAGGTCGGCATGCGTTGCGCCGTGTTCCAGCTTAGTGTTAGCTGTTGCCACAACATGCAATAAGAGAGAAACAAAAGAGCCCCGGCTTCCTACCTGCTTCTTCTTGTGCTACGATAATGCCGATGGAACTCATCGAATCAAAATTTCTTGGAACACTCTTTTATTTGTCTTATATTGGGTATTAGGGGATGAGCATAACAAGTCAGATGTTTAAGTTTCTCTTATTTGATGAAATTACACAAAACACTTTCATTAATAGAAAAAACATAATCGTTTAGAAAAGAAAGAAGTGAGAAGAAGAAAATGGTAATTAAGCACAAAATGTGTTGTCCACATAAAAGAAGTATATAATGTGAAAATGAACAATGAAACTATAGATAATTTGAGAGTCCAAAACACTTGTGGTTGTCCACAAATAATTCATTTGGTCTATTTGAAGAACTCGACATTGGGAGCTGCTCATTTTGCTTGGAAGCATAAATAGGGAAGACTCTGTTTTTATTTCCTTATTGGTATTGCATCTCAGATACAAATCATGGATTCCACTATGCATTTTTATTTTCTAGCAAATCGTTTCGATATCTTAATTTTTTGGAGTCACACACATACAATTTAAATAAGACATAACTCAAAGCTCCTGCATAATCCTGGACTGATATGCCACATGATGAACATAGAGTTCACATGTCAATCGGAATTGGATCCCAGTGATCAATGTCACTGATCCAAAATCTAATGAGTTCAGGCTGATGATAGGAAAAGAAACAGTCGATTGGGGCCTCAAGTTTAGAATCAAAAGCAAGAATCACACTGACATCTCATTTGTATTTCTTTTGGTTCTCAAGAGCAAGGAAGTCTACACGATACCCACCTCAAAAACCCAGAGATAGAAACAGAGGTAAAGATTCCAATAACAGACCTAATTTGCCAACTATTGGCATAGCAATGACGGACAGACTGACATTATTGATATTTGATAACATTCAGAGAATTTTTATCTTTGACTAAGAATATCACTAGAGCTGCGACGGTAGGGTGGTAGTCGAGACTCACTTGGTGCTGGCCAATTGGGTGCGGAGGAGCTTCGCTGCGGAAACCATGTTGGTCAGAGCAGGCTTAACTTCACCATACTTGCGAGTCTTGAGCCCACAGTCTGGGTTAACCCAGAGAATGTTAGTCTCGAGAACGGCAAGCATTTTGTTGATGCGGTCGGCAATCTCCTCTGTGGATGGTATCCTCGGAGAGTGGATGTCGTACACGCCTGGGCCAATACCAGCACCATACTTCACTCCCTCACGGAACACAGAGAGGAGCTTCTCATCAGAACGGGAGTTCTCAATTGTGATCACGTCGGCATCCATGTCGATGATGGAATGGATGATATCATTGAAGTTAGAGTAGCACATGTGGGTGTGAATCTGTATGAGACAACTCATCAGACAAAGATAATCTAATCAACGAGTACAAGATCTCTAAGATTCAGATAGATATCAAGGCTACGGAAGCATTGGAAGATGACAAGGGAACCTGAGTAGTGTCCTGGACGCCACAGTTTGTGATCCTGAAGGAATGAACAGCCCAGTCCAAATAGAAAGCTTGCTCGGACTTGCGAAGAGGAAGGCCTTCTCGGAGAGCTGCTTCATCTATTTGGATAACCTGAACATTAAACATGAAAGAACCTCAATTAAATTGCACATAAAAATGACAATTTTTCCTCTTAATTTGGTTGTTCTTTTTTTTGTTCTTCTTTCTCTAGGGAAATTATCTTTTGGAAGTTTCAATCTGAGAAAAATAAATAACAATATTTTTCACTTTTGTGGATTCACAAGTGCCACACTGGATGTAGTCATGTGACGTTGTCAATGATCACTGAATTTAAAATAGAACATGCAAATTTCAGTTTACAGGGTGCCATATAAACAGTACCATCAATGTTTCACATTTGTACTTGATGTTTGTGCACACATGTATCCATTTACATAAATGGTATATAGGTATAGGCAAGAAGGGCCAGGGAATCTTAATAACTTATGTAAAGGAAATGTTTACACAGCTCACCCTTCATATTGGATGGCTATGAAAAAGTTACAAGATAGTTTCAGCATACAGATGAATCTGAACAGACAATATTTTGTATTGCTCAATCCAGACAAATTCAGGATTTAGACCAGCAAGAGCTAAAGGTTACCTTTTTTATTTTTGTTTCACCAACTCGTTCAAAACTTCAAATGGTTTAATAGAAGTTTTTCAAGAGATAGACTTACCTGAATACCAGCAGCTTCCAAATCCTCGACTTCTTTCTTGATAGCAAGAGCAATCTGATAGCAAGTCTCAAACCTGGAGGTAAGAACATAAAATATTATGCAAACTTTAATGAAAAGAAAGTAACTTCTACAGAATTTAATCTTTATGAGCACATTAGCAACAAGGCTCACCTTGGTTGGTCATTTCTAACAAATGACCAATTGAGAATTGTGACTGGGCCTGTCAACATTCCCTTCATTGGACGAGCAGTCATGCTCTGAGCCATTTTAGACCAGAAAACAGTCATTGCCTTGGGACGGCTAACATCACCGTAAATAATGGGAGGCTTAACACATCGAGATCCATAAGATTGCACCCAACCATTGACTGTGAATGCAAAGCCTGATAGCTGTTCCCCAAAGTACTCAACCATGTCGTTTCTCTGTGGAAAACAAAATTCAAATTTAAGCTTAGCATTGAATTACTTGATCATATATATATATATATATATATATATATATATATATGCCAATAAAAGTTTGTGTTGGACACCATGCAGTAAATTTTTGTCTAACACATGCCTACCTGCTACATTTAATTCCAAATGTTCCCAAAACGAAACCATATAACATATTCAACATGCTTACCTCTGGCTCTCCATGGACCAGGACGTCAATATCAAGTTCTTCTTGGAGCTTAACAACTTTGCTGATTTCCTCTTTGATGGCCTTCACATATTCCTCCTCAGAGATTCTGCAAATATACATGGTGATAAATATAAGAACTGGAAATGGAGTTGAATAATGCCAAAACAAAAGGCATGTTGTTAGGAAGCACCCACTTATTTGCCTTGCATTCGCGTCGGACTCTCCGAAGATCCATTGTTTGAGGGAATGAACCAATTGTGGTTGTAGGAAGAATTGGAAGGTTCAGCTTCTTCTGTTGTGCATCTAGCCTAGCACTAACATTGGTAACTCGACGATGGTCAGAGCCCTTCAAAGCAGCAGCCTGCAATGCAATGCCATTGTTGAATTCTTAAACCTTTCAGAGAAACCAGAAATGAGCAACAAATTTTAGATACCTACCGCCTTTTGAACTTCTTCATTGGTCACCCTAGGAGATGACTTTCTTGAAGACTGAGCAGCCACATTAGCTGAGAAGAAAGCCTGTGCACATAAACCAACAGTCATAATCAGACCTTAATGGTTCTGGCAATTGGGTAATCAATAAGATAGCTGCATATTAGAGTTTGCAAACAGGTGATGTGCATCGCACTTCCATGCTCTGGAGTTTTATATTTCTTGAGACTAAATGGCTTCAACATGCAGAAAAAGTTCACTAATATCTCGCTAACAACCAAAGTTGCATAAAACAAAAACCTTAATAAGAAAGTTGTTTAAAATAAGGTAATTCAAGGATTTCCATGTTAATTTGCACACATCATGTCAATCAATGCTGAAGGTGATATGGCTAGACCAACCTTCTTTTTTATTGTGCCAATTCTTGTGTCGACTGCTAAAGCACGAAACCATAACATGCCAAATAGATACTAGAGCAGAATCATAAGGATACTTGTAATGGGACTATAAACCAAATCAATTTCCTCTGTCTTAGAAGGAAGACAAGAAAATGACATCATAGGTAGTGATGAGTACCTCATCCTTCTGACCAGCCAATGCTTTAGCCAATGCATTTACTTCAACCACTTTTTGTGCAGCAAAAGCAAGCCATGACTTAATCTCAGAATCCAGCTTTGTCTCATTAACAAGGTCAACAGCAGTGTGCATGAGTGAGCATGAAGTTGAGACGACAAGCTTGTCTACGGACACAACAAATACCATCAGCAGTATATTGAAAGGAATCTAGCTGGAAAGAGAAGAAAAGTAAAGCATGAACCTTTGCCCACAATGGCCTCAAGAGCCTGGAGAGTACTGAGAGAGGATGCAAGATCATTCGCCCAAATGTTCCTTCCATCCACGACTCCAGCAAAAAGATACTTACCAGCTGGAAAGCCTGCACTCTTGACCAAGTCAAGTGTCTTGGTTCCACGAATGAGATCAAGCCCAACACCTGAGATACCCTTCAAAGCAGTGATGGTCCTGTAAAATGCTTAAGAACAATGAGCTCTTCGAAGAATAAAGATGTAATGTGGAACAACAGTCAGAATAATCACAAACTTACTTGTATGCTTCTGCAGGAACATCAGCGAAGTAAGTTTCAATAAGCACATTCAAGCCAGATAATGATGATTCTAGTTCCGTGTAGGCCTTTGTGAATGCCTCCAATTGGTGAGACTCAAGATCCATGACAAGGGTTGGCTCATCAAACTGGATCCATGAAGCACCAGCTGCTTTTAGCTCAGCAGTAACTTCCCTGTGTATGGTGATACCATAAGTACAGAAAGTATAAAGGAGGAAAAGGAAAATAAAACAAAATGGACCAGAAGCTTATTTAGGATCCTTACTTGTAAATGGGCAGAATATTTCCGAGAAGTGAAAGAGGAGAAAATGATTTCTCAACACCTTTAGCAGGTTTTGAGAGCAACAAGTATGTCACAGGACCAATGAGTACCGGAACAGTCTCAATTCCGAGCTGTGTGATTGGAAGAAAGAAAACAAAACTTGATTACTGGATACATTTCACAAAATATATAATACAGTTGGAGAGGTTGAAATGAAGAATCATGAAGCTACAATATATCCTGTTCCAAACCATTGTAATGTCAAGAGCTAAAAGGTACCGACAGATGTGAAACCATTTCCACCTTGATAATCAGACTAGAAATGTACATGAAAAGGCTTAAATCCTCTACACAATTGGAGTCATTTATTTCAATAATCTAGTTCAACCACATGGGAATAGGGTTCACTAGAGTTCACATGAGTAACACAAGTAGTGTGCATTGACTCAAACAGTTAAGCAATTAGTAGGCATCAAAACAGGGCACCATCAAGTTTATACATATTCCTTCATGAAATGAAAACTGATATTATGACTAAAGCAATACAGAAATGTCAGAAATCTCACATACTCCAAGTACTACTAGCTAAAACATTAGACACTTCAAATCAGAGAGAAAAAGAAATTTCAAGTTTAAGATCACATAAAAAACAAGGTGGAAAATAGCAAGAATGAAGACATGGAAAACATGATGTCTAAAAGATAGTGCCAAAATAGATAAAACTTTCAAACATGATCAAGGAAACTTATAGAATAATGATGTGGAGTGAGGTGCTTACCGCCTTTGCCTCCTTGTATTCAGACAAGGCCTTGTGAGAAGAGTAGGTGAACTTTGTGTTTGGGCCCAACTCCGGGACAATGAAATGACTAGACAAATAGAATACGTCAACATGTCAGTAATGGTACAAGAACGAAAAAGAAATCAAATTAGATGATAGGAAGCTTAAGATGGCTTACTAGTTGGTGTCGAACCACTTGGTCATTTCCATAGCAGGCACAGAGGCATTTCCCCTAGCCATGGAGAAATAAATATCAAATCCAATCTCTGCACCAGTATAGTTGTACCTCTCAGGAACGGCACCAAGCATTGCTGTGGTATCAAGCACTTGATCATAGTAAGAAAAAGTATTGCTAGGAATGTATTTGATCCCAGCATCAGCCATTTGCTTCCAGATGGAACATCTGAGATCAGTTGCAACTTTCTGCAAATCATCGGCACTGCTCTTCCCATCCCAAAAAGACTCCAATGCAAATTTGAGCTCTCGCTTGGGCCCCATGCGAGGATATCCAACAATGTGTGATGCCATCTTTCTAGAAATGCCAAGAGAAGAAAACATAATAAGTTCTTGAGAATCAAAATATCAAACCTTGGTACAGATAACCACAACAGAACAGAAAAACACATGGATGGATAAAATAAGATTAACCAGAGAAAAACATGGTAAGGTTTCCTAACCAAATAAACTATATATTTGTAAACTCTCCATCTCGTCAAGTTGCATCTTATTATCCATCTATTACAGATAGGTAAACCAAACTGTTTAACATGTAAACACTTCTAATCAAACCAACTTTCCCATAACGGCTTAGATAAGAGAACTTGTTATGTATCTTCTTGTGCAGAAAACAAGTGATAAACACGAAGCAAAGTACCTTTTTTTATCATAAAACTATGAAAGCAACTACTGAGAATTGGAACTAAATTATTTTCCAGAGAAAAGAGTAAACAGGGGCAATTTCTACTTTCTCTGATGCTAAGACCATGGCATGCTAGGGTGTGTAGACTATACAAAGTTGCATATCAGTGTCATGCAACAATTAATCGGTCACCTCCCGATTAAACCATATGCCATCACTTCCAATGCAGAAAAGGGTAAAGTAATGTATCACGAGTTCATTGCATTGTATAAAATATTCATAAGAAAGATCATTTGCAATCACAATGAAAAGACAAGGATAAATTGCAAAACTAGTGATAGAAATAGGATCAGAAGAGGAGTCGGTGCTAAGAATCAAACCCAACCAAGAGAGACGGAAATGTAAATATCTCACACGAACAACAAAGCTTCACAAAACAATAAAATGTAAATCTCTCACGAAAGATCAATCAAATGTTGAGAACGATGACCCATGATATAGATCTACATGCCAAAGTAGCAACGCAACCAGTTCTACATGAAATCACCATGTCATGTAATGATACCACATCATTAAGATAGAAAGGTTCGATCTTTCACACCAGATACACCAGATCTAATTCGTATTAATCATCAGAAACCCAGGAAAAGACGCGGATTCAACATGTCACACACACAAACAGTAAAACCGAAAGCATTTCCAATCAGTCGTGACCAGATCTACAAGAAACCAGCGCGCAGAACCAGATCCAAAAGCAAACCCAGCCCAATGATCAACATCCAGAACCAAATAAAACAGATCCGAAGCACACCCACAACCCAGAACAAAATTTCAAGAGGAGAAGCCAACTTGGGAGCAAGAAATGGCGAAGATTCAGCAAATGACGAGATAAACCACAAGCTCAAGCAGCAGAGAAGCAGACCAACCGGAAGAGCCTCGAAAATAGGAAACAAAAGCAGTTCTAGATCCAATCTGTCCAAAAAAAAGGCTTCTCTTTGGGCTGATAAAAAGGGGAAAAGAAGCGCGAAAGGAGGAACGTGGACAAGACTGAAGCGTCGAAGTAGTGGCGAAGAGAGAATCGAGGGAGAGGAGAGCTCACCGTCGCGGGCGGAGTAGGAAGCGGTCCCCAAGAAGAGCGCTAGAGAGAGAGAGAGGACGAGAGAGCAGTGCGAGCGTCAAACGAGATCTCGGAGCCTACTTATAGGAAGGAGTAGAAGTTGCAGATCTGCATCTCACAAACACACACACACACACACCCACCCCAATAAATATAGAAAAAGATAAACATTAAATATTAATTTAAAATCTATTTTATAAATTTTAAATATGTTAACTAATTTAGCTATTAAAATCTTAAAAATTTAGTATGATTGTCACATGAATAGTAGTTGTTTGGTTTATGTGCTCCACACATTTGTGAGACATCAAGTGAATATTTTCTTATGATTAGAAATACAATTTTGACCATTGATAACAAAATATTAACCGTTGATAGCAAATCTCTAATATCCAATCCATCTTAATTTTAATTTATTTATTTTTATGAAATGTTCTTGTGTAGTTGTAGTTCTAATGTGTGTGTTTGTGTGATTCAAGTGAAGAAATGTTTTATGATTAATAATAAAGTTGACTTTTTTTTTCTTTTTCCTTTTTCCTATCTTCAAGGGATGGTAGGTGAAAGGGGTTGGTGAGATAGTGCCACTTGAATCCATGGGATTGGATGCGAAGGTTAACGTCTAGGTGGTGTTCAAATAGAACACGAAACATAACTTAATTGGAACCAAATCAACATTTAATTGTAAAAATATAAATAATTTTAATTTGTGAGGATTTGTTTTTGAGTTTTGCTAACCGATTTGAACAAAATCAAATAAATTTTAACTTAAAAAACATCAACTCAATCCACGAGTCTTCAAGATTCTAAAATTTCTTTCCAAACTTTGAATGCATTATTCTTTTTTTTTTTTTGTCACTATAGTTCTTTCTCCTTGTATTTCTTGGTCTTATTTTCTTGTCTTATGTATGAACATTATTTTGTTGTCATCCTTCTTCATTAATAATCTTTTTGTCAGTTTATATGATTTTTTTTGTTTATTTGTATGTATCACTGCATATCATCATTATCAAGAAAAAAAAAAGGATGTGAAGTAGTTTTTCTTTTAAAATATCTTTCAATAAAAAAATAAAAAATACTTACGTACAGATCTAATTGTTTAAAATATTTAGAATGATATTTATGATATAAATTTTTTGGGAATGTATATCCAATCGAATCAAAATTCTGGTTTGATTGAATTACATTGAATTGAATTGGTTCATCCAACCATATATATATATATATATATATATATATATATATATATATAGATATATATATATATATATATTTTAAATTTTAAATTAATTAATTAAATCAGATTAATCGATTTTGAGCTGATTCAATTAGGTAAGTCAAACAGTTTCCTTATGTATATTACACTAATTGAATCGAACCATTTTTATAGTTTGATTCAATTCAACTCTTAATAGTTCGACCTCTTTCTAACACCCCTACTAATTGGATAACGTGTCCACGATGGATTTGTCAAACAAGCAACAAGAACAACAGATGAACACCCCTACTACTTGGGTAGCGTGTCCACAATGGTTTTGTCAAACAAGCAACAAGAACAACATATGACTTTTAATATATAATTTACAGGTAATTAAGATTTCATATGAATTTTGTAATTTTGTGACATCTTTTTAACACAATTTTTTTTTATAAAATTATTGTTGTAGGATGATGAAGACATATTTAGTCTCATATTGAGTAAATTATTTAAAAGCTAAAATCTGTTCTTTTCCCAAACACATCTTGGATGCCCCATGATGATGGATGATGTACAACAGATTTTTCCAAAGGTTATATAAGAAATCCTTCATGTTAGTCAATTTTTTTCTTTTGATTCTTACCTTTAAATCTAACAGTAAAAGTATCTTGTTCAACAAGTAATGGATATATTTTTTACGACTAGAAAGATGGAAAGGGAATCGTAACAAAAAGATAAATGATGATGGATGATGTACGACAGATAGTTATGTGAACATTTCATAGGTTATATAAGAAGTCCAAGTCTCCTTTGATTCTTACCTTTAAATCTAAAAGAAAAAGTGTCTTGTTCAACAAATAATGGATACATAAATATTTTAATGATAGAGGACTAGAAAGATGGAAAGAGACTCGTAATAATTAAAAGATAAAGGATGACGAAAGATCATGGAATTCATGGGCAGACAGAAAATTGTGGTCAGCTGTGAAATCAGGTAGATCCCTTGAAATGATCGATCTCTTAATGTTCAAACTCTAAATCGATACTTGTGCACATTAAAGATACTACACTTATATCCCCTTTGAATCAGTACTATACTTCAGGTTTTGCAAACGACCAGTCACAAGAATTGATGAAAAGTGGTTAGTCGTAGTTTTTATTAGTTATCGTGGTCAAGACTGAACACATTAAAAGTCAATATCAGCGACTGGCAAGCAAAAGACTTGAATGTGTTCCCAATCTTTGTTTTTTTAGACTATTCTCCTTCCAACAACTCTGATCTTTGTAACTGCATGCATATGTTGCAGCAAACAAAAAATACAGAACCTTTAGCTTCCTCATTCTTAACACTCTTTAAGGCCTAAATTATCTTCATACAATCAGTTTCCAAGAGGCAGACGTCTAAAGTTCTTGGTCTTGTTGTGAAGTGACAAGGGCAGGCCAGACGATCTAAATAATGCAGTTTTCAGTACATCATATTTGAACTATGAGGCATAAGCATGATCATGGACACAGACACAATATATACACTTGAGATATAAAAAGAACTTGTAAATTTTGGACAATCTATGACTATCATGCAGTCTTGTATATGACACACATCATCTATTCTCGTGAGTAGAACCATTCAAAAGACGTTGGAAGTCGTAGATACATACATACATACATGTTGACAAGGAGATTTTTAATCACATGCTTCATCAACAAAAATACTTGGAGATGATTCTATGTCCTATATATGTTTTGAAGTCCAGTGTACCAGAAATGATACAAAAGTCATAAGCAAGGATTGAAGTTTTGTGTATACCACCCAACGTCCAGGCGGACAATACCAGTCAATAGAGGATCCAGAATGCCTTGTATCAAGCAGGTACACAACAAAAATGTTATATTCTGGGTTAGACACTGCTCTGCTGGTCACAAAGTCAATTATTGGTTTGCAGTTGATCATTACTTGAAACCTGAGACATCAATGAACCCTCCTTTCCTTCTTTATTCATATTATTATTTTCCCTCTTTTTTCATATTTTCTTATATTCCACACTGTGACATCTATGAGATTGAAATTATTGGTGCTACTTATATTCCACACCGTGACAACATTTAAAAGTGACATTACAGTATACAATAATATAAATCCGACATTAAAATGATGCTTTAGAAAAAAAAGTTAATTACAAATCACCCATTGTAGTTAGACCTCTTTAACATTTCAATCCCTAGATTTAAACAATTTGTATTCACATTTTGATGATTATAAAAGTGAACCATTTAATCTCATTTATCCTAACATCGTCAATTTTATCAATAGAAGATGCAGCACATATAAAATTATTGATTTTGTCAATGGCAAAATGATCATTTCAAGTGGATGAAAAAACGAGGCCATTAGCTTAGGCAACGAATAGAGTCGGTGCTGCCACTTGCAGAGGACCATGAGACCGAGCACTACATCCTCTTGGCAACAGAGGCTAAGGGCGACGAGAGGGTGGAGGTGTCGTGCTCCCACGTAGCCAAAGAAGGGGAGGCTTTGGGCGAGCTCGTCCCTCGCGATTGCGGTGTTAACTCCTAGTTGCCGTTGGTGAGAAAAGCTGCAGTGGAGTGGGTCGCGTGCACCGCGACTACCTATGCCTTCGCTCTAACGGTGATACTCATTGTTAACTACCTCGACCGGTGCTTCCTCTCCTGCATCATTGGCGATGGGCTGCTCTGGCTCCGGGATGACAAGCCATGGATGGGCCGATTTGTGGCCATGGCGTGCCTTTCATTAGTGGCAAGGGTGGAGGAGACACACGACCCTTTCCAATGAAGGTGGAGGCTTCTGAGCAAAGGAGGCCAAGTTGCTCGCCAATAGTCGTCAATCCAGTAGCTGCTTTCCTCGCGAAGCCATTTCCACTGTTACCTCCACCTCTGGGAAAGTGGGCAAGGAGGTCGTGGACAAGGCGACGAGGCCGTCTTCGAGGATTGACGATGGCAAGCCCGTCGACAAGCCACGACCGCGGGGTAAGTTAAGATGGGGAAGCACTCGAGTCTTATCCACGCCATGGTCGTGGACAAGGCGACGAGGCATGGCCCATTAATCGTGAGGGACAAGCCCACCCAAAGCCTCCCCTTCTTTTAACGCAAGAAAGCATAGCACTTTCACCCACTCCTCGTCCTCAACCTCTGTTGCTAAGAGGACGTAGCGCTCGATCTTATTATCCGTTGTAAGTGGTTGCATCGACTCTATTTGTTACATAAGCCAATGGTCTCAATCTTTCACCCACCTAAAATGATCATTTTACCATTAACAAAATCAATAATTCTACACATGCTGTCACTTGTTGTATCTTCAATCGGTAAAACCGACAATGTTAAATTAAATGAATGTTTTACTTTCATAAATGTAGAGATGCCAATGAAAATTTTTTAAGCATAGGAATCGAAATGCTAAAGAGGTCTAACGATAAAGGATAATTTGTAATTAGCTCTAGAAAAAAAGGATACCAATAGTTTGTTAACCTATCTTTTCAATTGACAATGAAGTGTTAACACTTAACAATTATAATATCACAACAAAACCCTATCTATTTACCTTAATTTCTTCTTTTAACCAATTAATGTTTTGGAAATTCAGTATTCAATAATCATGATCTACAATCATATTAAATTCTGAACATCTCTCAAAAAATATTTAATGATGCAACTTATCCAGATTAACAGAATAAAAAACAACCCACCTCTAAACTATGTGCTTAGTTTATACTTGCAAATAGAATAGAAAGCTTATCCAAACTATTTAATTTAATTAGGAATCAAACACAACCTGAATTAATGTTTCCATGGTTTAGTACATATTTTAACAAGATCTCACTTTATATAAGAAAACCTAACATCGACAAGGAAAATCAAATCCACAAAAACTAACAAAATAAAAAATTATAATAACTAAATAAATAATCCAATTGATATCTAAACAAATTTTCTTAGTCACAAGATGGAAGATACTATAAAAGATTGTCCAATGTATAATAACTAATCTCAAATGAATTTCTTTTACATAAAAAAACAAGGATGTGTAAATCTTGATGGTATTCCAATTAGAATGATAACATTCAAATAAGCAATCAGACATATAAGAGAAAAATGTAATACTCATCAATATCCAAAATGATGCAAGGGGTCATCCTATCGACATGTCAAGTCTAATTGCCAAAATTGGTCACTGCACGGACAACAACACCATGAACAGCATCATTGAAATTCCGATGGAACCACATAAAACCGAACTCTCAGTGTAAACAAAACAAAGATCATCGATGTAACAAAAATTTTCCAAACAACCATGCTGATCCAATGATGTGTGCAAACTGAATACCTAATCAACTTCTTTATTATACGATCCAAGGTTTTTAATTTCGTACCATACCAGTGTATCGAACTTTGCTCGATACAGTACGATACGACGCACCGCTCGGTATATGTATATTTATATACATATGTTTATATATATATATGTATATCAAAATATGTTTATATACATATGTTTACTCATAAACATATGTATTTTTATATACATATGTTTATGAGTAATAATTATTACAAAATTTGTTTATAAAAATAACCCCTTTCCATCTCAAGAGACGGAAAGAGGGTGATGGCGGAGCGGGTGAGGAGGCGACGTGGTGAGGATGCGACGCGTTGCCTCCATCCCCAGCTCAAACTCATCCCTCGTGAGGCACTCCGCAATGCTCCCGCGGTAGCCAGATCCGACGGGGATCCAGTCCAAGGCAAGCTCATCTCCCGCTCCCTTGCCGCCCTCAGCGATGATACAACACTCCGACACAAGTATTAAAATTTGTTTGACTACCAATTGGACTAACAATTTGTTCAATCATTATATTTTTTATTTCTGTTGTTTGGGTTTGATATTCTCTATTGATGTTGGCCCTTCCTATAACATGAGATCAGATGAGTTGTATGTCAAGTCTCTTCAATTACTGAGGCCAGAGTAAGATGTTAAAGCTTCAGTTATTTGATGTGCATGTAAGCGAAACAAGAAGGCTATCATGTAGTGTTTCTTTAGCCAAGTCTATGTTTCGTATCTAAACTATGAAACAAAATATATACATAAGAGTTTGACATATAATATATGTTAGGAGAATACATGCGTCAATAATAAGTCCTAGGTACATACATATTGACAAGGAACTTATTAAATCAACATAAACAATCAGAGAGAATCTGTGTCCTATGTTCTAAAGTACAAGGTACAAGAGATGATACCACAGTGCTACACAGGTTAAAAATTTTGTTGCCTACCACCCATTGCGGGTAGAACATACCAGTCAATAGAGAACATGATCCAGGCCACCTTGTACCAAGCACGTAAACAATAAATGTTAATTTCCAGGTTTCCTCTGTAAACTCTGGGTCTATTGGACCACTTAAAAAGTTAAAATCCAATTCATTTCAACTGATTTAGACACGGCTAACCAAAAAGCCAGCTGAGAGTAATTTTTCAGCTTGCAATTGACCCATTCTCAAAGTCAACAAATGTGGATGCATTTGACTTCATTCTTTTCCTTTTCTTCATGTCATTCTTATCCCTCCTCATTCCTTTTTCATCCTCTTCAGTACCAACCAATGTACTGCCTGGTACGATGGGTACATATTGGTCCCATAGTGCCTTATAGTCTATGGCACTGATTGAAATTTTTAGTCCTATATAGATACCAAATGGTGACAACATTTGAAGTTTCAATTCAGTGTAAAAAAAATATATAAACCCCATCATAAAATAGAGCCATAGAAAAAGGATAGTAAAGCATGTTATTCTATTGTCGAAATCAACTTGGAAGTGTGAACATTTAACAACAATAATATTAAAACAAAATCCTATCTATTTTCTTCAATTTCCTTATTTAGACAATAATGGTTTTGAAAATTCTATATTCAATAAACAAGATCTACAATCACATTCAAATTATGCAGATCTCTCAGGGTAAACATTTACTAGAATCAAGATTATAAGACGTAAAGGTTTAATAATGAATTGCAACTATCAACAAATTTCCATCTGACCTAAATAAATGCAACCACACACAAATCCAGGTTAAAAAGTATAATTTAACACTCCATCCAATTTACCTAACTCTAACACATAATAATTTGCTTAATTTTCCTCTTAAGAACAAGTCAAATTTGTAGATTCAGAAAGCATTATTACATAAATCACATTATGGTTAAAGACTAAATCATACACTTCATTTACCACAGTTGTAAATGCCTAACACAATATGTGGCATTGACAAATTCCCTGCCATACCATCCACATGCATTTTGATTCACTTTTGGTTGCTTGCTGGAAACTGCACGATTTCTTTAGTACAGTTTGGTAACTACAACCACTACAGTGCCATGTAACCTTCCATCCATGTCATGTTCTTAATGAAAAAGATGCAGCTTTCACTGCTTTTGCCTTAAAAAAAGTCACATAACCTTAAAGATAAACTTGGAGGATTGGAGACTGCTATGTTATTACTGTTTGTGCTTTCATGATTAGCATCTCCCAAAGTTGCAACATTATAGCAACTTTGTTAGGTTGGATCAAACCCAACCAGACATAACTATATCCCATCCCAGGCATAACACACCCAATCAAAAGATCTGTAACCAATTCCCCAAGCCTAACAAAGACCTATCAGGTCAGATCTGGTTGCTGCAGTTCATTAGATAAATGAAAACATCAGATGCTTTATTCCACAGCTATGTATAATGACCAAAGCATCTTAAATCTAAAAGGCAGGAAGGAAATAACTAATAACATAGAAATAACCACAATACAAGCAAGATAGTGCAAGAAAATATATGGAACACTTTATCTAAACAATGCAAAGTTTTTCTATACCCAAACAACAAAGGAAAATTCTACTACATAGAACCACTTAATAAATTTTCACATGATTAGTTTTGTAAATATTAAATGTTTATAGCTCATAGCTTTTACCTTCAGAACTTCACATCACTACTGTTCCGCCAACAAAAACATACATTGAAAATCAACGAACAAAATGAGAAAAATCATTGAACTGTTTATGAACATTGCTTCCATCTTTACTTCATCTTGTTTACTAACAAAAACATATAGAAGACAACCATATTTTTTGCTATAAAAAAAGAGGGCATCAATATGATAAATATGTATTGCATATCTATTATAAGTTTTGTTTAAGGAGAAAATATACTTCCATCTAAATAACACTCTTGCATACATTGATAAACCATACCAAATGTTTGAGGTACTGCAGTTACCAGCATAACAGCTGTGCATCTAATTGTTATATCTGTCCTAAATCAGTCTTTATTAAGAGGTAATGAGAAGCAGAATATGCCTGAGAAGAATAATTGTGTATGCCCTACATTATATTGAAAGCATTTTAAAAAGTCACTTATTTATCATTAATCATTGAAATATGTAAAAAGTCACTTATTTATGCTCTTACTCATTTAAAAAATAGTAATAAGAGAAATTTTGATGTCTATTTCTTATAACAACAAATTCGTCGCCCAAAGAAATAGGTAACACCTAGCAATTTGTAACAACATGTCAAGGCATTCAGTGTTGGATCAAAATCGAAGTACCAAAATAACATACCAAATAACCACTGCTGGTTCTAGCCCAGCTGTTGATTTGGTGGAGGCGGAGACGGCATTCCAGGCCTCGGACTGCTCCACCTGGTTGCGACGGAATCCCTGGCCTTGTCGGCACCGAAGCAGGCATCCCAGGCCACATAACCGGCGGAGGGACCCCTCATCATCTGCGACGGCGTCCCAGATGGCGGCGGAGGTGGAGCCCCGGGCCCTGTAGCAAACTCCACCGACACGGTTGTGGGTGGGCTTTGGTCGATCAGCACGGGCTGACCTGGGAACCCCGGCATCTGACCCAGCGCCGGCGGGCGGACGACCGGGAGGTAAAAGACCGGCAGCACCGTCGGGCACGAGATCTGCGGCTGCATCATCCCGGGGGCGTGGCCGCCAACGCCGCGGACGGGCCTGGCGAGACCAGGCTGAGCCTGTACGAGGGGGACGGTGGGGATGCGGCAGCCGGCAGCGCGTCGGACGCCAGCACCAGCGAGAGCTGCGGCTTCGTGGGCCTTGGCGCGGGACTGGTCGGGGGGCGGCGGGCCCTCGACGGTCATGGAGACGACCTCCTCTCCGCGGAGACGGGCAAGGCAAGGGTGCGCCGGTCCTCCCGCTCCTCGCCGGCCCCAGGCTTCTTATTGCCGCTGCCCCCGCCAGCCAGCTTGCGGAACTCCTCGCAGTCGCCGAGGACGAGGTTCATGTGGCAGTGGAAGGCCATGAACTTGCCCACGAGCCGGCGGCCGTCCTCGATCGTGACGAGCATGCGATAGTTCATGTACCGCAGCATCTTGGAGCCCTTCGACATCGGCATAGCTGCCTCTCTCTCACTCACTTTCTTCCCCTCACCAAGGTGTCTAGGGTTAGGGATTTGGGGACGCCAAAACCGATCCCGGTGCGGGCTGAGAGGAGAGGCAAACGAAAGTTTCCGATGCCCTGCCGCTATGATAGAGGTAGCTTAAGCGTCGACGGTGGCTATCTCCACGTGCAATTCACGTGGCATAGTTGGCCAGGCTCGACGCGTGGATTTCAAAACTTAAATTAATTAAAATTAAAATATATGCTGACGTGGCACTATTGACGGGAAAAAAATAGTAAGATATAATTGTTTACTTATTTATTACATGTTCTTACCAAAACTAATAAATAAGAATATTGGATTAATATTAGAGAAATATCACAGAAAATAATTGCTGCAGATGGACTCCATTACGAATTATTCGGATAATAATAATAGGTTTTTCTACAAGAAAAGACTCTTAACTCATACTGAGAATTTAATCGTCACATGATCACTGCAAAATGATGGAATGAATGCGTCGATGTCGTATGCATTGAAAGATAATTACGTATAATTATAATATATATTCAAAGCATGAAGGCTTCCCAAAAATGTGGCACCTTTTCAATTTCGATAAATTCTATATTATTTTTAAGAGATGTTCCGCCATCAACGATTTCAGTTCCTTAATTTTAGGAACGATTTCGATCCAAATCGTCCATATATTTTAATTATAATTTACAATTTAAAAAAATTATAATTTATTTTAAAATCATGAATGGAACGTCAATTTCTAGTTCCAATTTGATTTGGAATCAATAAATCCCAAGCCATTTTGGTTCCTGTTTCAGCTACATATGATTCCAGTTCAAATCAAAATATAACCTCGTATATTATAATATTATAATAAAAAATTATGATATATAATTTTATCGGGTGATTTTCTAGGAAAATATATTCTTTTTGAATTTTCTTTGGATAATACTCCTTTTCAAAATTTTCAAATAATTCTTATTTTTAATATTCCAAAAGTGTCCCTTCATTTTTCCTACCCAGATCCAAAAATTTTTCTCCCAGCTATTTATGGTATTTTTGTGGGTTAATTTTTATCCACAAAATATCATATAGTATAATAAAAATACTATATATTATTCTAGAAAAATGTATAGTGTTTTATTTTAAAAATATCATACAGTATTTTTGAAATAAAAATATTATATAGTATTTTGTGAATAAAAAATAACCCACAAGATATTATAATCGGTTGACGGAAAACCATTTTGGATTTGGATAAAAAAACACTGTCAAAAACCTTTGAGGGGTATTTTTAAGATTTTTAAAATAAAAATGATGACTTGATAAAAAAAAAAGAGTATCATCCCCAAAAAAAATCTAAAAAAATATTTTAGATATCCATTTTAATCTTTGCTTATTAGTCATCCATAATTATGACATAACAATAAGTGCTATATATCTATATATATATTTGTGATAGCATTCACTAACTTTTATTATATGAATCACATGAAGCATCGAACTTAATTGGAAATATCAGTTATGGGATGATATGAGCCAAGAAGATCTATATGATATTGAACATGCCCAAATAACTATGGATATTGAACGTTACTGACAAACAATAGCAAAAACACACCACCAATAAGTGAATATATAAATATATATTCCATGCACATATCCTCTTAAAGTCCAAACATGAATTCGATAAACTATGTAACATGGATTCATAGTTTATCGAATTCATGTCCCTCCATCTAACCACTGAGAACTCACAAACACCAGTCAAATTTGGCCTTTGGTGTGGAGTGAATTATTTTCCACTGTGAACCATCTCCTCCTCATCCTCACCAACCTCACTTGTAATATACTCTTTGGAAATGGCAGTGACCACATGACAAGCAGTAGAAAACATCAGAATAGATTCAAAAGAAAAGTTGCTGTGTTTTGTTCCTGTAGTCATCACACGGAGAAGGTTTTCTATTCTCTTTCTTAAAGAAATATATGTACATAATATGTATTATTTTTTATTATTTAGTTTCTCATTCCCTTTTTTAAAGGATAAATGGCTTTTTCACTCATAAATAGTACGTAGAAAAGTAAATATTGAAAGTTAGGAATATATATATATATATATATATATATATATATATATATATATATATATATATATATATATATATATATATATATATATAT